ATCTGTGCACCATCCTCAACACCAGTTGGCAGGGCAGCGTCACCAGTAACAAGCTCATGGAACACAGCCAGTCCCCTGGCAGCCAAGCTCGGCTGGCTGCATCCCAGCTCTACAGGGTGGTTGAACACGTCGGCACGAAGGAGAGCAGCAGGGTGGCCCAACTCCAAATTATGAGCTGAAGAGAGGTGACCAAGGCTAAAGAAGCCTGTAGAGATTAGCCAAAGCAGAAGTTCAAGCCACACTGCTTATATGTTGGCTGGGCTGTTGGAAAGTAACTGCAATAGACATGCTGTACTTTATGCAACACCAATTTATGAAATGGCACCTTTGGGGCCGAGATATAGGCAACCTGGCAGGGAGGATAAGAGCCTGTGCTTGTTTCCATTTCCCAGGTTTCACACTGGTGTGCCTATACATCTTAATAGATCATAAACGTCTGTTCCTATCCAGGTCTCATGATTTTATTCTGCAAAGTAATACCTCCCTTTACTCGCCCAGTAATAACAAAGTAATGAATTAATTTGTAATGCAAAGAGTCTAGTTATACCACCCAAGTCAACCAGCTTATACGTATCACTGAAAAACAGGAACATTTGTTTGAAACCCATGAAGTAAACCAGAAAACTCTAATCATCTTTCCTGCATGGTCTGCCTTTGTGTGTAGTTCCAACGTGAATTACCAAACCAGTGATTTGTCAGTATGGAACTTAAATTATTAATATGTGCATATGGCAGCCTATATTTCACACAAAACCCTCACCACTGCTGATAAAATTTTTGCTAACTATCCAAGAACTTTAAAAAACATGATGATTTAAAGTCATAAAAGGGAAGTTTTCGGGCAGAGGCTGAATGATTATCTGTCAGGATTCCTGCACTGGATAAGGGTAGGGGTGTTGGGAAATGGATTTGATGATCCTTCTTGTCTCTTCTATTACATGATATATATACATATATATTACATGATATATTACAGCTGTTACATGATATAAACAGACATTACAATCATCACAGGATATAGCACAGCCAGCGAATTATAAGTACAGAATTTTCAAGAAACGCAGTACGATCCTATGCACAATTATGTTAGATACATAAAGAGCCCAGAAATGAATATATCACATTTAATTTTTAATTTATTCAGACAAATAATTTACTGATTTTCATATTGCAAAATGTCTTGAAATTATACCAAAGCTAATTTATAGTCTCCAGAAGTTGACATTTTAAGATATCAGGACATACAAATCATATTATGCTAATGTGCAATAAATTTACCACTACCCATATGAATGATGACATGGCAGTTATGTGCATAAAGCAAAATAACAAATAAGGCTCCGATTACTTTAGTCTGGCTTTGAAATATATGGTGAGATTTCATGAGGCTCATTTGTTGATAATAAGTGCTACCCTAAGCACTTTACATCTATTCTCTATTTTACTCCTCATAATTACACTATGATTATGATGGAGATTCTGGGGCTTAGAGAGAATCAGCAACTTGCTCAAGGTCACTCAGCTAAAAAAGCAGCAATTACTCAAATCTGCCTAGGAGGCTTTCTGACTCCAGAGCCTCTCATCTAATACACAGGATATGGCTTCCTTTGGTTTCCTTCTTTCCTTACTTGTAGGCAACATTGAAATTACTTCTGTTACTGGAGTTATTTATTTATTGTTGTTACTGGAGTTTATACTGTTGCATGGGGAGAAAGTTGTCCGAAGTCTGCCTGGCTGAGTGAGGAAAACAAATTTGAGCTTTAAAATGTGAATTGAAAAAAGTTGGCAGAGCTCTGAGGAAATAGGTATACGTATGCTGCTACCATTGTAGGTGGGTTCAATATTTTCAAAACCTATCTGGTAATATGGAATGAGAGCTATAAAACTTTTCTTGCACTTTGATTTGGTAATTCCAGTCTGTGGAATACACCCCAAGGTAATAACAAAAAAGAAAAAGGTAATTTGTTCAAGATTTTCATTCAGAGGCTATTTGTATTAGTAAAAAAAACTGGGAAAAAACAAATTCGCAGTAATATGACAATGACTGAGCAAATCGGGCTATGTAGGAAAAGGAAAAGAAAAGAAAAAAACTTTATAATCCCCCCAAATGGCAAATGTAGAATACATTCACACGTGGACATATATGTAAGAAATAATTTTATGTTAAGTAGGATACAAATTAGTACGTAAGAGGATAATCTTATACAATCAAGTATACAGTAGGTTCATTAGTAATAATGCAAGACAATTATGAATTTATAAAGAAGTATATCCCACTTTTCACTGGTAAAACCCAACACTGGAAGAGTACCTGGCCTATAGATTGTGTTTAATAAAAACCTTTTTTTTAAATGAGGACTAACAGAGGCTATTTCTTCAGATCTTGTTATAACAAAGAAGTCGGCCATTATCACTTGCATTTGGCAGACTCAAAGAGGAGTGGGCAAGTTTTATGGTGAAAAAAACAGAAGACTTTAGATACGCTCTGACTGGAGGCTTTGGCTTGAGGAAGCTGAAGGCAGACTAATTAGAAGTAGGGCATCTTAGGTAATTAGTTTAGGGAACATGTTTGACTTTCTCTGGTTGGCCCTGAGTTGAAAGCATGCAAGGGTGGCAGGCAGGGTAGGGGCAAAAAAAATAGGGAAGTGGCAGTCATTGACCAAATCCTGACTATTCTGGGCTGGTTGCTGCAGAGATTGTGACTTGGCTTTCGGGGCTGGCTGCTGAAGAGAATGTGGGTGTGGGTGAGAGCTCTATTAATATCATCATGTATGGTCTAGTCACCATCCATTTGTAGATCCAATCACTCACTATGGTTACCAGTTTACTATAAAAGGTTATAACTCAGGAACAACTAGATAGAGGATGCATAGGGCAAGGTATGGGGGAGGGGTGCAGAGCTTCTGTTCCCTCTCTGGATGTACCACCCTTTTAAAACCACCACCATGTACTCATTCAGCAACCCAGAAACTCCACTTAATAAAAACTTATGGACTACCTGCCTAGTTTCTTATATTTTGCAAAGTTTTTTTGTTTGTGATCTTATTTAATTCTCCTTCCATTTAATGATGGATAATTTAATCGACAAGTGAGGGAACTTTGAGTCAGAGATTAAGTGGTGCACACAAAGCAGCTGCTTGGCTCAGGCACTCAGTCCCAGGCTCTGTTTCTCATAGAGCTAAACATGGATTCTGCTCAAGAAAGGAACAAAGCCTTGTGCAAACCTTCCCTCTAAATCATTCAGAACTCATGAAACCCTATCTCGTAAGTATAAATCCATTGAGAAAAGTCCAGAAAACAAGTCTAACATAAATGGAACCAAAGATGAGAACTAAATATGTAAAGAGATCCCTTTAAACGAAGGCAGCAGAGCAAAGGCAGGACTACCGTCAGTGTATAAACTAAACTGTTTGGGGGATGCCAAGGGTATGTAGTGGTTACATTTGGAAAGACACAAAACCCAAATCCTTCTATCTAAATCCTTATTAAAAGGCACATTATCTCAAGACTCTCATCTTGTGACACAAAATGCACAAAGTCAAACTTTTGCTTTATCTGTACATTCCATGGAAATATTCTTACAGTGAATGAGGTGGCCTACACTTACATTCATTACTAAACTTCCTCTCCTTCTCACCTGGTTCAGTCTGATGAAAGCCTATACTCGCATCAGAGATCGGATCAAATACCACCTCAAATACCACCTCTTTCAAGAAGCTTCTTCATGCCAAGTGAGAATCACCCTTTCTTTCTCAGGCCCTCATAGCATGTCTTGGAACAACATTTTTTTTATTACTTCATATTATGGGGGTACAAATATTGTTAGGGTTATATATCTTGTCCCTGCCCTTCCTCCCCTCCCCACTATGTCAGAGCTTCTAGTGTGTCCAGCATCTTGATGATTCCTGCCTCCTGCTTTGTGTAGCTCCTAGATGGCATAAATCACAAGTGTGATTTATCTTTGTGCTTCCTATGATCTCAACATGCACTGTAATAGCTTGTTGAATTGGTAAGAGATCATCTGAGGTCCTGTCATGCTCTATGAGTTTATAAACTTTTACTGAGATTTGGGCTGTTCCAATTCACTGTAGAAATGACCTCAATCAAGGACTCTCTTCACTTAAAAACCTTCTTGTTTCCTTACAATCATATTTTATGTTGACCTTCTGTACCAGAACATTTGCATTAATTTAATGCATTAGTAATTAGTATTGGCAAATAGCAAACCAACATTCAGAAGGTTAAATTATGAAGTGTTTTTTTAATCAAATAGGAATATGAGAGTCATCAAACTTAAACTAATTTGAGATTTGCTTTTACCACCAAGTTTATAAATATTCAACCAGATTTTATCCAATATGAAGGTAAGAGCTTCAAAGCCAAACTTCAATCCTTTGTGTACTCTCTTTTTTAATATAAGCTGGTGAATAAACTACTGGTGAAAGAACTTAAATTTTCAGAGCAAAAAGTACATTACTTCTACCGAGGTCAACTGCTCTTCAGAGACAAAAGTAATGCTCTTTTTATTAGCAATTTGGAATAACAATTAAATAACATTTAGTTTATTGAGATTTTTATATAAGAACTGAGAAAACAATTCTTCATTGAAGTTATAAAAGCACAAGAGAAAGTGCTGAGTTTCTGAAACGCAGTAATCTTTCTATATTCCCTATCTTCCCTTAGGCCATGTATGGTGGTGGTGTGATCGTCAATTAAAAAGCTTACTTATAAGGGAGATAAAGACCAGGGAATAACAAGAATACCACTGAGGCTTGTAATGAAAAGCAAGCTAAGAAAGAGATGAAGTAATTATTTTAAATTACACTACATTCTATGAAATATCAAAAAACTCCAATTACATCTTGTATAACACGAGAAAAAGCTCTTTGATCCGTGAATGGGCTAATCCAGCAGCTATTCACATAATTCCTGTCTTCAGGGAGAATAGCAATCAATGATCAAGAAGGAAAGTACAACTCACAAAAGGCATGAAATCTTACTTTTTCATCATCTTCAGTGAATGGAGCACCTTCAGGAATCTTATTTATCGCTTGGGCCACGCCAATAATCTCACCATCACTGCTTCGGATGGGCATGCACAATAATGATTTTGTCTTGTATCCAGTGAGCTTGTCAATTTCATCATTGAATCTTCGATCCTAAAAATAAGCAAACAGAGCATTAACTACATGTGAATTGTTGTCAGGGAGAAGGAGAGAGAGAAGTGTATTTTTGTGTATGATACTTTATCACTGGGAACTTTCCCCATGAATTGTTAATCACAATAACAAGTTTGAATTCATGTTTAATTCACTAAAAGAACATAAATGATAATAAATCACCACCATTGTTGTTAGCCACGATCAATGAAGGGAGAGACTTTAAACCCAACTACAACATATCAAAACTGGCGAAAGGGCAAATGTGTTTAAGGAAAGCCCACTGTGAGCTGTTTACTAAAATATGTTATTTCACAAAGACAACTGGATATGAAATATCACATAAGAAAAATACATAAGAGATATGTATTAAACACTGTGGGAAAATATTCAGAAAAGAACTACTTTATTTCTGGTCAAAATGATCCCATGACAAAAGAATCTATGAGTTTATTGTGATGTTTCAAAATACTCCCAAAAAGGGCAGAAAGAGGAGATAAAAGGCTTCTCTATAGAATTCCAGCTAAAAAAAAGTGATAAAATATGGAATGATAATAATACAGAATGATAAAATTATATAACATGTATTTTGCAACTACCAATATAATTATGTTTACAAGGAAGGGTCATCAGTGGATGCTAATACCACTGGGTGGAATGTTGTTGCTAAACAGAATATTCACATAGTCTCAAAGTGCCACCCCCACAGATTCCTTATTACAAAGGTAAAGGTGTCTTTGTAATGAAGAGACCTGGTGGACACCACCTTAACCAAGTAATCAAACTCAGCATCACCATTAATAAGACAAAATAACATCGTGTGTGATGCAATTGGAAGGACATATCACCAAGAACATGGACTGTTTTTGTCCAATATGTAACATGAATCTAATCATTCAGGAAAAGAAGATTAAGAAACATACAGATTATTGGTCATTTTGTCAGAAACTTAACCTGGTCTCTTCATAAATGTCAATATTGTGAGAGACAAAAATATTTTAAATAAAAATAAAATCAAGCTATAAGAGTTGCACTGGCTTAAAGAAGACTTAAAGATACCATCTATATAATACTACCAATATTTAAAAATAATACTAAATATTATTTATGGATTCAAATATGTAGTAAAAGTATAAAAGCATGCACGGGATACTAAACACTAAATTTATTACCTGTGGACAGGAAAGGAGGAAATGGCTCAGGGAGAAGTATAGAGGAGGCTTCAACTCTAACAATAAAGTTTTACTCCTTTAAAAAGAAAACAACTAAGGAGTGAGATGGCAGTTCTCTGGAGGCTGAGTGTCTCACAGTGCCCAGAGAGGCTGATCTCTGCTGCTCTGAACCCCAATGGTCACACCTGCCCATATCTCAGCATTTCTCCAGGCCTGGCCCACCCCAGGACGGTATGCAATGCCACACATTCACCTGCCACCCAGCTGCCGTTCTGCTTCCAAGGCTGCCTCACTCTGCTAGATGAGTAAGAAAGTTGTCAGTATTTTGCTCCTGGGCCTGCTGTGATAGACTACACCCTGACTACAGCCCTCACTCTCTGTAGTCAGGGGCCTTGAACAAGTTGTTACAGACTACGTCCATGGACACTCACCATAGAAACAGCCAGTGCAGGCGAATTTGGCACTCTTGGCTTTAACCTTAACTGGGCTTTGTTATTTCAACTACCATGGTGAGGGCATCTGCAAAGCTGCTGCCATGCTATGGAAACTCTGAGTTTCTAGACTTACTACCTTAAGAACCGGTCATACACCTCTTTGCCTCTGCTCTGCCATGCTATTCAATTGACCATGAGGAGGAAATAAGATATGTTCATTGTTAAGATAAACCTCTTCTAATCCCATAATTACTCTCAGAACTTAATCTTTAAGGAAATGTTTGAGAGGAGCTGTATCCAAGAAATAGTGAGACTGAATTCCATTTTCTTATAAGTTAATGGGATTGTCTCCCAGCCTCTCACAAGACTCACAGTATAACTAAACATTATAGATGAGCTCTTGCCTTTTAATTTCCCAATCTCTTAAAGAGAATTCAGCTTTATTCTCTTGATACATGATCAAATGTCTTCTATATTTGTCCTGGTAATGATGGACAAAGACAGAGACTGTTAACTCTTAAGTAATGATTTTGGGCTGGGCAAGATGGATCCTTATAATCCCAGGGCTTTGGGAGGCCAAGGTGGGAGGATTATTTTTCAGCATATTATGGGGGTACAACTGTTTAGGTTACATATATTGCCTTTGCCCCACCTGAGTCACAGCTTCAACCGTGTCCATCCCCCAGACGGTGCGCACCGCACCCATTAGGTGTGAATATACCTATCCCCAAATCCCCCCTCCCACCTGCCCAACACCCAAAGAATGTTACTACTATATGTGCACTTAAGTGTTGATCAGTTAATATCAATTTGATCGCGAGTACATGTAGTACTTGTTTTTCCATTCTTGTGATACTTCATTTAGTAGAATGGGCTCCAGCTTTATCCAGGATAATCAAGGGGTGCTAGATCACCACTGGTTTTTGTGGCTGAGTAGAACTCCATAGTATACATACACCACATTTTATTAATCCACTCATGTATTTATGGGCACTTGAGTTGTTTCCACATTTTTGTAATTGTGAATTGTGCTGTTATAAACATTCTAGTGCAGATGTCTTTTTTATAGAATGTCTTTTTGCATTTGGGTAGATGCCCAGTAATAGAATTGTAGATCAAATGGTAGCTCTATTGTAGCTCTTTGAGATATCACCATAATACTTTCCACAGAGGTTGCACTAGTTTTCAGTCCCACTAGTAGTGTATGAGTGTTCCTATCTCCCTGCATCCATGCCAACATTTATTGTTTTGGGACTTCATGATAAAGGCCATTCTCACTGGAGGTATTGTTTGAGGCCAGGAGTTTAGGGCCAACCTGGGTAACATAGCAAGACCTCATTTCTACAGATAATAAAAACTTTAAAAAATTAGCCAGGCATGAAGGCATGGACCAGTAGTCCTAGCTACTCAGGAGACTAAGGTGGGAAGATCCACCGAGCCCAGGAGTTCCAGCCTGGGTGACAGAGTGAGACCTTTCTCTAAAAAAATAAAAATAAAAATTTAAATAAAAAGACTTTGCAGAAAATTAGACAGTGTTTAAATTTTTTTTAATTTGCCTTTCTGTTCAGTTGATACCAGCTACTGAAGGGTCCATGTCCTAGGGAAACTTTAAAATTAGAAAACATTCATATTTCACATTACTAATTTCTAAATCCTAGGAAGAAGAGCTTGGAAAGCTTCTGAATATAGAGAAGTTCCGTTTAGGGAAGAGGTACTCCTTATAGAAGCATCAAAATATTATAAATTCGAAACTGAGACTTAAACCTCAAATACGATTATTTTATTTGTCTTAAAATAATCTGTCTACAAATATAAAAGTGTAAAAATTTTTTTATTGTGAGAATCTCTAACATAAAAATGTAGTCTATGAAAATAAATTTTTTAAAAATTGAAATGCTAGTTAATAAAAATGGTATAAGTCATGAGGATGTTCTGGGATAACAAAAAGGCAATGGAGGTAAAGAGAAGAGGATAAATATGTTGGAAATTGTGTCTACAGTACTTCCTGATGAATTGGTTGGAGAAGGGAGAATAGACAAAGAAGAATGAGCCTCAGATTTTAATGTGAGAAACTGTGGATGGGAATACTGGGCATGGAAGAGATTGAGATGGAAGGGAAAAATCTATCAATGAAGAGAATGAAGAGGGTTGATAAATCAATTAATTTAACAAGGTGAGGTGCATACTTTGACCAAAATCAGTGATTCTCCACCTTGACTGCATGTAAGAATTACCTGAGAAAGTTTTCAAAATTACCAATGCCTGCTGCCCCACCCCAACTTGAATCAATCAATACTAGACATTGGTGTTTTTAAAATGCTCCTATGTAATTCTCACAGGAGAATCATTGTCCTAAATGTTAAAGAGGTGAGTCACTAGTGAGAGCAATAAAATTCTTAAAATGGGAACAAAAAAGGAGTGCGGCATGTAATCTGGGGGTTGCATGTCAGTGGTGTGGACCATGATGGACTGGACCTGAAAATCCACTCTAGAGTTGGCATGGTCTGTCTCTTTTTATCTTTGTGATAATCTGTATCTCCGGAGAAGGATCTCATCCACCAAAAGCCAACTTAGAGTAGACCAACCACCAAGCCTGTAGTGTATTTATTGTTACAGTATCCAAAGTCACATGAGAACAAAGACACTGGGATGCTTTAACATAACCAAGAGTCACAAAAATGCTATAAACTCTCACCTACCATCTCTCCAACTCTCTAGCTCCACCTGATAATTTGTAACTTAAGGAGAAAAAATAATTGTATTGATATATGGGGTAAGTTTTAATCTTCTAATTTAAAAGCTAGGAAGAAAGATTTATTCCATTAAGTCTTAATGGTTTTTAAAATGTAATGCATCTTACAGCATGCTTTGTCCATGTCTTCATTATGCTACTTATAGGATAATTCTCACAAATTAACTCAAAACTTGATATAATCAAGTTAATCTAATCTAATGGAAGGTTAGGAAAGCTGATACAATTGCACACTTTCCTAATATATATAAATCTCTAGATTAATCTTCCAATTTAAAAAAACTGAGAAAGCTGAGTTCCACATTGAGGCATAAATTAATTGTAGGAGATGAAGAAAATTAGGGAAATAATTAGATAAAGGAACATATTACCCTGATGTTATAGAGGAAAGAAAAGTTTCATAACAGATGATATTAAAAAATAGATATTACCAGCCAAGTAATAACCACAAATGAGTGTGATAGTAGAAGAAACATAGCAGGGTGCCACATCTTAATCTAAGTTCAGAGAATATCTCCCCAAAAAAGTGAACGGTTTAAGCTGACACCCAAAGGATCAGCAGAGATTATCCAGAAAAAGGAGAGAAGGGGTGGGGAGGGATGAGCAAAATGTCCCAGAAAAAGGAAATAATATTGTATAAAG